AAACCATATCAATATCATATAAACAAATAGCATGCATAATGAGCCATCAGCCTGACTGGACCGCCTCGCAGGGCCATCAATCTATCTGGACCGCTCTCCAAGCCATCGACACGTCTGAACCGCTTCTCAGGGCCTTCATCCTGTTCGGACCGCTCGGCGGGCCTTCGACCTGACTAGTATGCCCTACCGGGTCTGCAGTCTATCCGTTCCGCCCTGGGTATGTTGGCATTCAGCACAAAGCAAGTCCGTCTCAACCCAACCCCCAAATCAAACAATCATGTGCAAATAAATATCATACGCTATGTTGCAAGTAACAGCTATAAGAAATAAATTATGCCCTATGTTGCAAGTTGTTCTCTTTCTACAATCAGTGAGCTAGTAGAAAAAGCCTTCTTCATCAGCTGTTATAAATCCTCAAAGATTTCAAGAGCATGCAATGTGATTTTAATAAAAACAGATGAGTTACATACCACAATGGACAAAGTAAAACTAAAAATAGAATGAATCAGATCAACATTCTCACCTAATCCGACCAAAATCGGAAAATTGTAGTCCATTTTAGAATGATATTAATTTCTTTATAATTGCTTATATTTGCAAAAATACCCTTTCTAAAGTAGAATTTTATGATCAGTAAGAATAAAATTCAGAATATTCTGCCTGTATATATACCATTATATTAGAAACTGACAACATTTAATCAATGAAAACATTAGTAGCTAATCGGTATTATGACATAAACATGATCATTCAAAAAAGAAAATTACAAAGTAGCTATCTGTTTGGGATTATCCTATATACCAGGATACCGACCTAACCGATCACTAACATAACATTATCCTATATACCAGGATACCGACCTACCATGTCACTAACATATCACCATCCTAACTACCAGGATGCAAACAGTAAGCATATCATGCAATAAACCCGGATACAAATCCGAAAAGGGCCGACATTGGTGCCTTCAACCCTGTCAGTATAGTGAGGACAACTCACCTCACAAGTAGTTCGGGATGATAAATGTCCAACTCCCCAAATACAACTCCAAACTCAATCACCTATATCCACAAATGATCCATTTTCATAAATTCCCAAATTACTAAAATACCCCTAGAAGTCAAACTGGTCAACCCTTGGTCAAAGTCAAAGTCAACGGTCAATTTCAACAATCCATGTTGACCCAACTCGTCGAGTGTAGCCCATTGACTCGTCGAGTTCTTCCAGAACTCGAGAAATCGTGAAAACCCTAGTTGACTCGATGAGTTTCCAGACAACTCGTTGAGTCCATGCGGTGTTCAAATGTCGGGAAAAACCTAACTAACTCGTCGAGTCATCTCACTGACTCGCCGAGTCCATGCAGAAACCAAAAGCGGCCAATCTTCATCTGACTCGTCGAGTTGACCATGCAACTCATCGAGTCCCTTCAGTCCATTTCTCATTCAGACATTTTTAAGCTACCCCAAAGCTCCAAATTGTAGATCTAGCTTCCTAAGGCATAGTTACCACGTAAAGTTGCAAACTTTACGTGCACGCAAGGTCTTAAAAGCCGAAACCAAGCTAAAGAAGAAGTTCTAGGTAAGGAGAAGGCCATAACTTGCTAAAGCCTAGAACTTTATGACTATAAGGGGCTAGAGGAGTCCATATCTGAATTTACAATTTCAGATCATGCCCAAAACCAAAAATAACTCCACGACAAACTAGAAATAGCCCTAAACCTTTGCATGAAGAGATCTAACTAGAGAGAAGCCAAGGTAACGACTTGTTACCTTCAAGATGATGCTAAAGATCAAGTAGAAATCAGATCCACAAGCTTCTCCTTGCTCCAAGCTCCTTAGACTTCAAGCCCTCTTCACAAAATCCACCTTCCAAGTTTCTTAACACTAAAAACGGAGAGTAGGCGCGATTAGGGTTTTCTGAGCTCAAGGAGGACGGTAAGGGAGGCAGAGGGAGGCTAATGACCCTTTAAATAAGGTGTAAAACCCTGAAAATTAGGGTTTCACTCTTCAACTCCTACTTGTCGAGTTGGGGTCCTCCGACTCGTCGAATAGACCTCATAAATCACACGGGTTGACTAATCTCTACACGACGAGTTGGGGCCTCCAACTCGTCGAGTAGGCTTCTTTAATTGCATGAAATACCTAAAATCTCATTCCTGGAAATCGGGATGTTACACCAGTCTAATCTAACCATAGTTAACATCTAAACATATAAGTATTAACTAACCAGATTGAAGACAATCTTTCAAGTTTATCTACTCATATTTCATCAAAGATAAGAATATGCCAACTTACGATCGTTTTAAATAAAAGTTTATTGAACTGAGATTCAATTTAAAGGTGTACCCTGTTGCTTTGTATATAAAAAAATCAACCGCCACTAAGTAAAACCCAAACGTAGAACCTATAAAGGAAACCCATTGCAGGTTTTGTTGTAGCATTTTCTTTCAAAAATAGTGATCATAGCCAAATCCATAAACTTGTATATTGTCCAATCTAAAATTTTTATTAACATATATATCTGAGATTCACAAGAATAACACAACTAACAAAAATCACATTGACGAACATACTAATGAAAGTTTATGCTCAAAAAAAACAAAATTAAAATATATTAGTTATTGTTTACCTTTGGGTCCATCTTAGGCTATAACATCCTCTCCCAAACACTAAATTATAAAACAAAAAACCATAAGCTTCACAGGAAGGATCCCTGGGTAGTGATCATAAAGGTTCAGAATCTACACAAAAGTTAGAAAAATAATGAAGGCAAATCCAATTACGATGAAGACCAACACAAAAAATAAGTATAAAATTCCAAATTAAGATTACTAGTCCGTCAATTATAGAAAAACCCCCAATACACCGCCGTTGGCCATCACTGCACGCGATGTCTAATAACCTTACATACCATAATTCTTATTTGTTAATCATTTCATCTGCTTTGTCTCACATTAGGATAAACCCCTGAACAATCTGTTAAGAACATGAATTCCAAGAATTAGGAGTAGATGAGGAAGCGAGAGCAAAAGACCGGAGAGAAGTACAAATAGAATCAATTAAACTAATCCTTCTTTGATAATCAGAAGACATAAATTAGAAAGAAATAGAAAGAAAAATAGGAATTGGGATAATAACACCCAAATTGGAAGCAAGTGGAGAAAGCGAAGGAAGGCAGATGACAATTGAAGAACAACGACATGAAGAATCATTCCTTCGATAGTTGACCCTAAATCGATCGATGCCGGAGGAGTGAGCGGTGGTTTGGAGGAGCATAGGGGATCAGTGGAAGGAAGTGGAAGGTTGTTTGGTAGAAGAAGGGTAGACCGACTAAGGAAGACGCAGATGATTGCCACATGGTCTATGAGTCGGTGGTGTGTTGGAGCAATCCTATTGCAGAAGGAAATTGATGGATTAAGAGAGAAGGGCAAGTGGCCTTGTAGACAGAAGAGAAGGTGGCGTCATTAAAGAGAAACAAATTATCTTGAAAAAAAAAAATAGGTCCAATAGGAACAAAGTACTGTTCCTAAAGGGGCCTTAGATTTAGTATTATATATAAATGTAAGATGTTAAATTGATAAATAAAAAGTTTTGTGAATGTATGAACGATTTATGCCAAGATTTTGTTCGTTCAACTTACACAACCACTGTAATAATTTTCATGAGCTACATCATCCAAGTAACTCCTTTGGGTTGTCCGAAAATGCTTTATACTATCTCTTTGACATATGTTTGTTTATTCAGAGATTTGGACTAGTACTCCACTAAACATCTTCAGCTTAGTGGTATCTTTATATTGCCATACTTTCTATAAGATGTGGGACAAAAACTTTACATAAATGAAAATATAACCGTTTGCTATTTTCAATGTGACCATGGTTTAAATACCCTTGAGTATAACTAATATCCCAACAATCAAGGGATTGATTACAACTAAATATAAACAACATAAAGGTTAAGCTAAATGCCCCTAAAGTTGGAGCGGGAGAAAGACGGACATTGAAACGGATACATAGATCATCAAACAATAAAGTCTTGATCTTGAAGACTATAATCTGTATCGTGACAATTTTGGTGGTCTTGAAACTTTTGAACTTGAAAGTCTTTATGTGAAGCATTTATACGGTTGTAATCAAGAAAGGTACTTGTACTCTTAGAAAGGAAGAGGAGCTGAGAAGACAATTGAATGATTTGAGAAGGTGGCTAGCGGATGGAACGACAATGAATTCAGTGAGAAGGGAACCATAGGCAGGTGATGTAGAGGAAAAATAGAATACAAGAGAAGAATATAGGGAAAAAAACATAAGAAAAAAAAACTGAAAGAATTGAGATGAGAAATTTAGAGAGATAAACGTTGGTGTTTGTGACCAACGATCTAAGAGAGATTAAAGAGAGAAAAGATTTTCTTTGAGAATGGTAGGGTAGAAGTGGCAGCGATGGAGGATTTTCTACTAGGTAATACATGAGTACAATGTATACACATACACTAACAAAATAAATTTGAATCTCTTTGGGACAAGTTATTACAGCATCCATTAGAGTTTTAAAGATAAAAAAACGCAAGTATACATATTCATGCATATAGCCCAATTAATTATCAAGAACAACATTTTTGAACGTTTTGTAATTATTTGATAGCCTATTGCTAGTTGTGGTTTATATTTAATCATTAAGTTGTTAAAAAAACTGTCAAGAACAAAACCAACATTATTAAGAAATTTTGTTACAGATACAAAACTCAAAACGATCAACCACTAAATATTAACTAAAATCTTTCCCTCTCATAAATAATATTCCATGAAAATTGAAACAGGAAAATAAAAAACCATAATTATACTATTTACATGGATACTAACTACATCAATCACAAACTTTTATATATATATATATATATATATATATATATATATATATATATATATATATATATATATATATATATATATATATATCACTTGAGAAGATGAATAGCGATCAATAATGCTCCAACAAAGCTCGATCTTAAACTTTTTGATCCATTTCCCATAGGGATGTAATTTCCGCCTGTTTACACGACATATAAGACAAATTTATCTTTAAAATACGTTAAGAAACTCAACATTTTATTTATTTTTCTCTTAAAATATTGAACTTTCAAAAACAATTTTTCTTAATAATGCATTGTATTAGAAAAAATATACTCGGTTATAGTATTATACTTTAATTTTATTTTTTATTATGAAAAATAGTTTGAAAAACCTACTAATCATAGCAATGAAAATTGTTTCGTATTTTGATGACACTGCTATAACTGGTTAGAGTTTTTATAAGTCTGTAATTGGTTATTGTAATACGATAAATTGCAAGTAAGATGCCAAAATAGATAATTTAACGAAAGTATGTTGCTTTATCATGCAAACAAAGTTAAACGGTATTTTTTTTACCAAAACGACTATGCTTAAAAAAAAATTATGACCAAAAAACATGTAACATTTTGACAAAGTTGAATGGTATTTTGTATAGATTCTGAAAGTTGAAGGCTTTTACTAACAATTTTCAAAGGTTGGGGACCAAATTAGGATTAAAGTGAATGTTGCTACTTATTTGTCTATTTACAGTTTGTGATTTATCTTTTAAGTTTTAACCGACTGTATATAGTAAGACAATTTACCTGATGGACTACTTGGACATGTAGACTCGTGAGTAACAGTAGTAAAGATGGTGCGATTTGTGTAACCGGCATACGAACATCTTTGAATGGTTACAATTAGAATCAAAAGTGGTGGTCCCCAAATTAAAATCGCTCCCTACACATTGCATGGAAGGACAAGTTTGCCCTTGTGGCAAAATAATCGTTGATGGCTTGCATTCTAATCTAAAAAACCCATAAAAATGATTATTACTAATTTCAAAATATATATAAAAAACATAAATAAATTGAGTTTGATGTGTTCACTTACATCCTACTATTTGCAGCATTGCATTCGCATTGGACACAATTGTTAGCCGTAAGAGTATAAGTACCATTTGGGACGATTAAAGGGTAGTCAGAAGAGTTATTTTGTACCATAGATGTGCAAACTGTTATTAACGATTAAAGGGTAGTCAGAAGAGTTATTGCTTATTCCTACCACAAACACTTTTGCAAAAACAACTTATTCCCACCACAATCAGCTATATAAACTAATTTATTCAAACACTCTCTTATTAACGGTGAGAGAAAGCAGTTTTTGCAAAGTGTTTGGATTGAAAATAAGCAATAATTTATAAGTAAGTACGAAATGTTTTTTAAAATTAGTTTATTTAGCTTATCCCAACCACACTAAACTGATTTTTAGTGTTTCCTATCTACGAACTTAAACTTAATTTATAGAAAAAACAATAAGCCGTACAAACACCCTCTAAATTCATGATGCTCAAACACTAGACCCACGTAATAAAAGGAAATTCATGATGATCAGACATTAGACCCACATAATAAAAGGAAAAAAAAACAAAGGAATGCTGAATCTTCTACCTTTAACAGGAACGTCAATAATAGTATCAGCTATCAAGTCTAGAGAACTATTCGTCCCATTCAAATACAACAACGTGCTCTCTGTCGTATTAAACTGTAACGCAATCCCACTCGCCGTGTCGCCGACGGCCACCATGTATCCATAATGCACCACCGTCTCCCCATCAACCTCATCGCAGCTACACGGCAATGGAATCCACAGCTTCTGACCATTCAATATATTATTCGGATCAGATATATTATTAACAGACTGGATCTGCGGGTACGTCACGATGTTAGAAAAAACATCGGCGGCGATATGGTCTAGACCGTCTTCAGGAAGCACGGTGTATATCGGACGGTGGTCGGAGATTCCGACGCCGTTACGGCAGGCGCAGGGGAAGGGGATTTTGAGGATTTGGGAGGCGGGGAAGGTTTGGGTTTGTGGGGTGGTGATTGGGAGGTTGTTTGCGGCGAGGAATGAGCGGAGGTTTTTGATTTCGAAGAGTTTGAGGATGAAAGAGATGGAGGTGGTGTTTGGGAGTCTGTAGTCGACGAGTGAGTTGCAGGTGGTGGTGGAGGTGGTGTTTGTGCATCGGAAACCTAGAGTTTGTGTTTGTGCAGTTGATTGAATGGAGAAGATGGAAGAGAGTAAAAACAAGATGGGGAACAAAACCATGTTGGAAAACACCATGTTTTCTCTTTCTAAGTTCTAACGGTAAATTTATAAGAAATTTTGTGCTTGCAACAGAAAGAGCTATATGGATTTTGGAACTTTTGGAGGGTATGCAAACGGCGGAAGGAAAGTTGGAGGGAAGGAGAAGTGATTTTGGAACTTTAGACGTTGGTGAGACACTTTTGAGGTTTTAAGACCATCATCGACCATCTCCATTTTTTCCTCCATATGGAGTAGAAAATGAAGGAAATAGTGATTCATCTCCAACCCTACTTTATTTTCTATCTCATTTTTTACCCCAAAAAGTATATTCCTAGAATATTCTATTTTTTATAACTTATATATATATTGTCAAATACACTCCTCTACTAATTAAACTCTATATTTATGATTAATTAATATAAATTAGCATATAACATGATATTATAAATATTAAATATTGCATTTAAATTATAATTAGTAGATAAAATAAACTAGAAATGTATAAAATAAAAATGAGAGAGACTAAAATTGACAACCAAACTTCACCTCCATTTTTGGAGATATGAATAGTATTCCCCCATATATGGGGGAATACTATTCATATCTCCAAAAATGAAGGTGAAAATGGGGTAGGGTTTGAGAAGAATGGGGGAAGAAATGGAGTATGGGGGTGGGTTGGAGATGCCCTAAGAATAAGACTTTTGAGGTTTTAAGAATAAACCCTTACCTCTTAACTGTTTCTCAATAAACCTTAAAATTTTTTATTTTATTTTTTTGAAAAACACTCACATAAGACAAGTTTTTTCAGGAAAACCTGCTAGAATGGACAAATCCAAAAATATAAGGTTTTTATCATAAAATAAAAATTAAGGTTTAATCCGGAAAAACATAAAATTAGTCATTTTTTATTTGTCTATTTTAGCATGTTTGTGTTTTAAAATGCATTCACCTAAACATAATAGTTTTGAAATTAAGATGAAACCTGATGACATTATTGATAAATACAATGCAAGACTAGTAACCAAATGTTATAGACAAAAAGAAGGTCTAGATTACTTTGATATGTATTTGCCAGTAACGCGGATAACATCCATTAGATTAGTTCTTGTCATTGCAGCTATTAGAAACCTGCAAGTTCATCAAATGGATGTGGAAACTACTTTTCTTAATGGAGAGTTGGAAGAAGAAATTTATATGGAGCAACCTAAGGGGTTCATTGCCTCGGGACAGGAGAACAAGGTTTGTGAACTTTTTTAGTCTCTATATGGATTAAAACAAGCTCCAAAATAATGGCATCAAAAGTTTGATCAAGTCACGATGGAAAGCGGTTTTAAAATCAATGAGTGTGATAAGTGTATTCATGTGAAAAACACCACTCATGGTTATGTCATCTTGTGTTTATATGTTGATGATATGCTTATCATTGGTAGTCATGACAAGATGATAAGATCCACGAAGGATATGTTGAAATCCAAGTTCGACATGAAAGATATGGGTTTAGCGGATGTGATTCTTGGAGTCGAGATCACAAGAACCCTTAATGGTTTGATTTTCTAAGTCAAACACACTACGTGGATAAGATTTTTGAAAAATTTGTTAAGGGAGATACTAGAATAGCTAGAACTCCAACTGACACTAGTCAACATCTACGTAAAAATAGAGGTGATAGTGTTAATCAAGTGGAATATTCAAGAATCATTGGCAATCTGATGTATCTAATGAGTTGTACCCACTGTTTTGAAAATCGGACCTGTAGCACCCGATTCCTGGTACGTATTTAACTTCATGGTACTGTTACAATTTACTCTGGGACTCGGCGAGTTGGAGGCCCAACTCGTCGAGTAGACTCGACTGTTGGAACGGGGGTTTAAGTGACCTACTCGACGAGTAGGAGCTGGCTGGACAAAACCCTAATATTTAGGGTTTGCACCCTATTTAAACACTTTATCTTAGCCTCCATTGCCCCTATCATTCCCAGAGAGCTGTGTATCGAAACCCTAGCCGTTTTTGTGTGTTCTAAGGCCATTTTGGTGCATTTGGTGGAGTGTGAAGCTTGAGAGGAAGGAAGAAGCTTGAGAGTTCGAGTTGAGGCTTGGAGATCCAGAGGTTTTGGTCCATATCCAGCTCAATCAAGGTAAAATGCCCCTGTCTTGGTCTTCCATGTGTTTATTCATCCTTAGAAGCTTGGACTTTGGGTACATTTAGGGCTTTCCAAGCCATTTTCGGAATTATGAAGTGTTCATGGAATCTTGACTTCAGATCCGAGTCATTGGAGGGGTCTCATGGCATAAAGGTGCTAACTTTAAGGCCAAGAGAGCCCCATGCATCTTGTAGAACACCTTTTATGGCTTTTTTAGCCAAAGACCCCATGCATGTGCACCAAGTTTGGAGCTTTACGTGTAAAATGGACATTAGAAGGCCGGATCTATGGTTTTGAGGTGTTAAGACCCATTTAAATCGACTGTACAGTGATGGTCAAGGTTGGACTCGACGAGTCGTTCTTGGGACTCGACGAGTCGGGGTATAGTGACCACCAAATCCCTTCTGTGGTTGGACCAGTTGTTAACATGGAAAGTCCCTTAGTTGTTTAGACGCGTAAAGAGACCTGGGAATCATAGGACTCGGTGAGTGTATGAACATACTCGGTGAGTCCAAGGCAATCTCCCAAACTTGAAGATGAACTCGACGAGTTGTTCATACAACTCGGCGAGTCGGATGAAGATGGTCCCGATGGTGATTGAAGGAGAACTCGTCCAGTTCTTGCTAGAATCGACGAGCGGAGACAGGGATTGTATCGGGTTAGAGGAGTATGGGCTCGACGAGTTGGTAGGCCAACTCGGCGAGTCAGGTCAACTGTGTTGGGTTTTGAGCATTCTAACACTCTTATGGTGTACATGCAACCCTATAAACCTTGGATCTCTGTTTTCTCTATTATACATGCAAATATTAACTATTCCAAGGTTTCATCCAAACTAGCATATTATGAAGCACCTATACTACAAAGTTCTAGTTAGATGACATACCTTTTGATGTAGCTTGATGTCTTCAAGCTTTAAGAGCTTAGCCCCAATAGTGTGGAAGCCTCAAATGGAATCACAAATCACCAAAACACCTTGGAAGAACTTGAGAGAATATGTATGCACACTAAAATCGGCCCACTCTTATTTTCACACACTTGTGTCAATTTTGTGAGCCAAGGACCCCTTTATATATTATGGAGGATTAGGGTTACATCCATGTAAACCCTAATACCCATGACCTTTCATTTACATAGGATCCATGGGTTAAAAGCTCCATGGACCATCCATGAAAGCTTAGCCCAACCTAAATGAACTTGGCCCATTCCATATATATAAGAGTCCATATTTAATTAGTTCTTTTTGATCACTTAATTAATTCTAAATTAATTCTTGATCAATACTAATTAAATAATATGATTCCATATTAATATATTAGAACTTATAATATATTAATATAAATCATAAATATACTATTCTCAAAAGACTATCCATATAAATTGTGCCGGTGAAGTGCAACCCAAATGGACCATGTCGGGTCGGGTCAAGTACATACCAAATATAGTTATGGACTTAGACATTAATCCAACAAACTGGATGTTGACTTTGTCCAATGTTGACTCTGACTGAGCTTGAGTTGAGCCTGGTTAGGGTTGTATATTCTATGTAATGACTTGGAGGAGTTGTCATGTAGGGATTGAGGAGTCGGGGAGAGTTGACTTCCACATTGGGATCAGTGCAGACACTACGCGACATCGAGGTGAGTTACCTTCCAGTAGCGGTGGGTCTACGGCCACAATGTCGCCCACCAGTAGGATTTCTATGTTGGATGATTGTCTTTGTGATATTCATCTGGGTTTGCTACTACCTGATATGTTTATGTGCTAACATGATATGATATATGTGATAGTAGTAGGATGGGGGGATATAGCCCCAAGTTCGGTCGTTAGGACCGAAGGGTAGATCGGGCACCCCAGAATTGTCTGACAGTATGTTTATGCTATTATGTGGTAGTAGTAGGAGGTGAAATAGTCCTCATGTGTCGGTCGTAAGGGCCGACGGGTAAGTCAAGCACCCCAGAATTTCCTAGGAGAGTATGTGTGTTATATGGTAGTGGTAGGGGGTGAAATAGTCCCCGGTGGTCGGGTGAAATAGATCGACGGGTAAGTCAAGCACCCCAGAATGGCTTGACCTGGGTAAGTCAAGCACCCCAGAATGGCTTGACCTGGGTAGTCGGGCACCCCAGAATTGCCTGACATTATGTTAGTGTTTGGTATGCGGTATGATGGGGGAACTCACTAAGCTTTGTGCTTACAGTTTACAGTTTTGGTTTCAGGTACCTCTTCAGCGAAGGGGAAGGAGTCGACGCGGTAGTGGCACATCACACACACTCCGGATTCCGCACTATGATAATCTTGGGAATGTACTTTGATTTTTATTACTATGGATGATATGGTTTTGAGACACATTGTTACAGTTGTACAAATTGATTTGACATTGGTGATGTTTTTGGTAAACTATTTCATGAGTTACTTAATTAAAAATGAAATTTTTGGCCTTGAAAATTGGGATGTTACAAGTTGGTATCAGAGCCTTAGATTGAGGGATTCGGATACACTCTCGGGTGTGTCTGAACTCAAACTGAGGACTTGGTAAGAAAAAAAAATTCAAAAAGAAGTTTGAAATGAGAAAAAAAGGAACTTTGAAAAAGAACAAGATGTGTGATGTGCGCGACCGGCCGAGCTCAAGTAAGTTTTCCCCAAGATACCCATACATGTTATGTTATGATATGATATGATTATGAGAATTGCATGCTAGATTAGGGCTAGACGATCTAGGAAGGATGCCTTATATGCCTACTATATATGTATGAGAAATGCATGCTAGGTTAGGGCTAAGGATCTAGGAAGATGCCTGATATGCCTGCTATATGTGCTTTTGAGCTGAGAGATGTTACTGGTTAATCAGTTATATGATAGCTTGGATAGAGTACGATCGGATTGGGTTACTCAATGCCCG